GCTCATGACACTATATTTACTTCTACATAGTTTTTCTATATTCCCTTCTATACAGTTTTGGGCTGCAAGAGCAGCAGTGTGCAAATTGTAGTGAACAGCTTTACAAATCCTCAGACCCTAACGTGCCCTGAGGCAGCAGTTTTGGTGCCAGCATTGACACCTACTCATATACAGTCCCCTGCTGCTTTTGGGGAAATAATTTCATTTTTGCCTTGTTTCAATTGTTGCTTGTGGCACACTATTGGTTTGCCTTTTTTCATATTTTCTGACTCTGATCTACTTGTTGTTTCAAGATCTGTGCAGAAATTTTTAATTTTGCCGTTAGGTATCCTTCAGAATTCGATGGGCAAAAGTAGATCCAAGCAGGCCCACACAATATTTTTTGTAGGACATATGTTAATTGAAATAAACAAAAGGTAATGGAAATGAAAAAAAGTAACAGACCACACCAAGACAGTAACACTTAGCAAAGATGTTTCTAGTTTCAAAAGGATTGCTGAAGATAATACATGTGGAGAAGATTTTAGTCTTCAGGTGTTTGGGTACTTTCTGAAATGCATTTTTACCAAAAGTCCAGATTATATATATATTCTGTCTTAGAGTCTGCAATTAATTCTGGCTAACAGACCTAGGATATTTATCACAGATTAAGGGAATTTGTTTCTCTCTTTTTGTTTTCACACTGTGAGTTTAAAATGGTGCCAGAAAGAAATTTAGAATCAAAATCAATTCAGCTCAGGATAAAAATCATTTCAGGAAAAAAAAATCCATTATTACTAAAGCAAACATCAAATATATTTTACATGAGTTTGGGCTAAAGAGGAACTAGATAAAAAAAAGGAAGATAAAGTATATTTCCTTCTGCTTGAGACTTAGATGCTTAGATGTGCCCTCAGAATGGCAATGCACATACATTCTTGGGTAATCCTATTTAAATCACAAATATAACTTTCAGGTGCTGATTATTTGTTGTCTCTTTCATGTCTTGACCTTTATATGGTTTCAGAGAATTCAAAGAAGACATTAAATCTTTTAAATTTAAATCCATTAAATTTAACTTGTCAATATGCACAATACAGAAGAAGAGTTGGTCTAACAAACTCTGACAGGCGTGATGTATCAGCCATTTTTTTCAATATACCACACATTTCTGTAGTCTGTTTTGTGGCAGATGTTGGAGATATATTTTAAATTTAAAATTACAATGTTTGCTACAAAATTTGCCTGAACCAAATGGATGTGCTCCTGTCAGAGTAAGTGAAAAGCACATCTCAGCAGGATGCAATTCTTAAGTATGCCCCAGCTCTGCCCTAAACTGTTGCCCAGTCAATAGAAGGGAATGATTTTCAGTACTGTGAGTTCTTTAGAGGGAGGAACTACTGCACTGGGAATGTTTCCCAAGTACATCTCAAATATCAAACAATGAATTATTTTATATGTGGATTTCTTGGCTTTGGACATTTTCTCTGCAGTGATTATGGTGTTTCCACTCCAAAAAGTCATATATATTTTGAAATATATTTCAGAAAATTATCCTGGTTGCTTTTAAGGTCACAAGAGACATTCCTTGCCTTTTCTGGGTATTCTCTGTTTAGCAAGAATGCACTTAGTATAGAAGGATAAATTATGGTCGCCCATGGGAGTCAGTGCCATATTGTGCAACTCACACAAACACCCATGGGCTTGCAGAGGAGAGCTCTGTTTGTTCAAGAATAAGATCTGGTATTTCTCACACAGGAGGTCATATTACCTTAAAATGCCTCTGCCCCGTAGGTCTGCCTGATGAATAACATCTGCTCCCATAACAACTGCCTCAGCAGCAGGAGAGATGGACTCTGTGGCAAGACAAAAACAGAAGTAGTGCTCAGGCAGTCCTGCAGCAAGCAGCCACGATGAGAAACAGAACCCTCTCTGTGCACCTGATGCCAGCCCTGCTGGAGCCAACAGGAAGGAGCCCAGAGGATTGCAGGGGCTCTTGGGTTAGGAAGCATGCACACCCCTGCCTCTGCGTGGGTAATTCCAGTACTCTGAGCAGTGACCATGTATGTCAGTGAAATCAGATTTGTCTCTCCAGCCCTACAGCCTCTCATCAACACACACAGCACAATATGCTTCACTTTACCATCACACTGATGCAGGCAAAGGGAAGCTTTTACTGGAGCTGGCGACAGCAGATGTTTCCCTGTACCTCAGAAACTGTAACTACCCTTGTAATTTGCAGCCCAGAGCTACCAGCCTTCTTAAGGGCTGGAAGAGAGCAGATGTTTCCCTGTACCTCAGAAAGCTGTAACTGCCCTTGCAATTTGCAGCCCAGAGCTACCAGCCTTCTTAAGGGCTGGAAAGTTTTGTGCAAAAAGAGGGAAAGAGACTCCTTTGCTTTGCCTCCATTCATATTAACACAATGAAATTTTATTCCTAGCAACGAAGATTAGCATCCCATAGATCCCCATAAAATCAGGGGAATTGTTACTGAAATGCCAATATTTACAGTGAAAGTGGGTAAAAAATTCACCTGAATTTCTTCCACCTGAAAAGACTCATAAAGTCAGCTGGGAAATGGTAATTCGGTTTTATAAATTTCAAGTTTTTAAAATTAATTTTGTTCTTCAGTGGAATGAAAACAGAACTTCTGCAAAGTCTTTCAGAAATACGTTGTAGAGAAACACTTGTTTCCTTAAAACAAAGCATAATTTTTTTTGTCTCTAATCCACTCTCACTCATTTCCATTTTGCTCCCCCACTCACTTTCTGTCACCAGAGGTAGCTGCAGAGCACTAGATCACGAACCTTATTCAGCTGATTTTTTTTTTAATCAATACATCTCTATGCATGATTTTGCCTCTTCATTAAAAATGCATTCTGTTAAGAATGTTCAAAAACAATTCTGCTTGGAATAAATTCTTAGCTTGTCCAAAAAATTGATGTCTTACACATCTAACTGGATAACCAGCTGCTCAGCTGTGAAGCTTTGGGAGAAAAGTAGACTTGGAATTGCTGAAATGACAGTCCTATATATTAAAGGTGTCCCATCAATGTTTTTGCACAGAGTAGAAATTCTGCCCTCAGCCTTTTCCTACTGCACAAAGCACACACTTAACTGAAGCATTCCTCTTCCTCATTTTGTTATCTTGAGCCTGATCTCAAGGATTTTAGTGTTGTACCTGTAAATAGATAGCAAGAAATGAATGTCTGTTCAACCTTATGTTCCTCTATTTATTCATGTATTCACTTCAACACAGAAATGGAAAAAAAAAATTAGCTGTTTTTGACAGCAAAGGCAAATGCATGAGCCCCACCCTCTGCCAGTTGTATTTCTATAAATATAAATTTCAAGATTACAAAGTTTCTTCAGACAAAAAACCTTTTACTCTGGTTTAGCATTTTGACTTTTCCACAGAGACAGGCTTGCTTATTTTTCCAAGAGTTCAGAAGGGTTTTGCCACTGTGCTGACATTTTGCATCATCTTTCCTTTGCATCTGGAAAAAAAAAAAGGGGAAAAAAAAAGCACAGTTCTGAAATGACAGTAAAAATGCATTGTTCTTTTGAAGTGACGTGGACTGCATATGTCTGTGCATCAGCAGGTTAGTCAGAGGGGCCAGAGGAGAATTTTCTAATCCCTGGTGTATAGAGGAGACATACATAGATAATTTTTTTTGTCTTCCTTTGATTGCACCACCATGTTCTGAGACTCCTTCTTAAAGAAGTGATGCCTTATGTGTGGGGGTAAAAACAGCAGAATATTGCAATTAGAAAAAAACTCTAACTTCCCTGTCACATCTGGCCTTCATGCTTCAATAATCCCTTGAGCACTGCTCATAAATAATGAGCACTCAGATGCTGTACAATTCTAGTGCATTCTATTGACTTCCAGGGGATGCACAAAAGGATAGAATATATCCTGAAGGCAAAAGCAGGCACTGTTTTTTTACTCTTCTATTAAATGTGTATCACTAGCAATTTAATTACAATTTATTGAACACTGCCAGTAGGGTATAACGGGCACAAAAATAATTGCTATGTGTAAACAGAACTGTTTTTTATCTGTTTCTTTATTTAGCATTACCCTGATATCTATTTCAGACCTTTTGTTTTAGCTTTATGTAATGCAGATTAAAAATGTTATGATTTGAAAAATAATGGGAAAAGTGCAATCAAGCAAGCATCAAAAGATAATACCATGTTTAAAAAAACCCCAAACAAACAACAATGCCTTATCTAGGTACAAAACTCAAAAGTAAGTAAATAGTAACTTTAACCTTACTGAAATTGAAAAAAATAGAAATAAAATCTGTTTGGACCTAACTAGATAGGCAAATATTCAACAGAGGTGAGTTTACAAACTCTGTTAACTTCAAAACCTACCCTCTTTTGTTTATTGACAGACTAATTAGCTTGATGAAGTGCCAGAATCTTTGTATGTGTTGCCTAAAAAAGGAACTGCAGGGTAAGAAAACTGGGGGGGGGATATGATAAAAACCCATTCCATAAACCTCACAGAAGCATGCCCAAGTGGAGAATGAAAGAAAGACAGAACCAGAGATCTCCTTCTCATGATCTGTCTTTCAGTAGATCACAGCTTCACTTTGGGTTATAAGAATGTTACACCCTCCAGTCTAGACTTTTTTTTTTTGATTAGGGTTTGAAATTAATAAAGTGAACTATTTTGTTAGCAAGAAAGAAAATAATATGCAGGTTCAGTTCCAAAATATTCAAGTCGATATTAGTTTTAAAAAATAGCAAAGAGAAAATGCATCTGAGAACTTAAAAATGTAGTTTTCCATCCAAATGTGTGTCTTTCTCACATATTTAGAGCTAGCTAGCCTATTGTTGTTATTCCTAAACTGTACACTGTAAGGTGTTTCCTTTAGCCAAAGCTGACTGGTTTTTCCTGAATACATCTAGCTTTAAACTTTTGCCAAGTAGGTTTTTTTTTTTGCGATCCATTCCTTAAAGGCAAAGGGACTAATTTCCTCATGGTATCTGTTTTCTTTCCTCTGCAGGCTTAAGCTGTAACTGGGTATCTTGTTATCAAAACCAAAATGAATAACTCAACGTACATAAACTCTTCCTCTGAAAATGTGATGGCCTTGGAGAGCCCCTATAAAACCGTCGAAGTGGTGTTCATTGTCCTGGTGGCAGGATCACTCAGCCTAGTCACCATAATCGGGAACATCCTGGTCATGGTGTCAATCAAAGTCAACAGGCACCTCCAGACTGTCAACAATTATTTCCTGTTCAGCCTGGCCTGCGCTGACTTGATCATCGGCATCTTTTCCATGAACCTGTACACCCTCTACACTGTGATAGGCTACTGGCCCTTGGGGCCCGTGGTGTGTGACCTCTGGCTGGCTCTTGACTATGTGGTCAGCAATGCCTCTGTAATGAACCTGCTCATTATCAGCTTTGACAGGTACTTTTGTGTCACCAAGCCCCTGACGTATCCCGTGAAGCGGACCACGAAGATGGCTGGCATGATGATCGCAGCTGCCTGGGTGCTGTCCTTCATCCTGTGGGCCCCTGCAATTCTCTTCTGGCAATTCATTGTGGGAGGAAGGACTGTCCCAGATGGGGACTGCTACATCCAGTTTTTCTCCAACCCTGCTGTCACTTTTGGCACTGCCATTGCAGCGTTCTATTTGCCTGTCATCATCATGACTGTCCTTTACTGGCAAATCTCTCGAGCCAGTAAGAGTCGGATAAAGAAAGGAAAAAAGGAAGCTGCCCAAAACCAAGAAACAGTTTCCCCCAGCCTTGTCCAAGGTAAAATAGTAAAACCAAACAATAACAACATCCCAACCAGCGGGGATGGGTTGGAGCACAGCAAAATTCAGAACGGAAAAACCAGCGAAGAGACTGTGACCAATAACTGTGTTCAAGGCGAGAAGGAGAGCTCCAACGACTCCACCTCCATCAGTGTGGTCGCTTCCAACTTGAAAGAGGATGAAACTACCAAAGATGCCAGACCGGCTTCTGCCTCACAAGACCATGTCAAAGCAGAGAACTCCAAGCTGACATGCATCAGGATAGTCACCAAGTCCCAAAAGGGGGACTGCTGTGCCCCTACCAACACTACCGTGGAGATCGTAGGCACGAACGGGGAGGAGAAGCAGAACAGCGTAGCCCGGAAAATCGTCAAGATGACAAAGCAGCCAGCCAAAAAGAAACCACCCCCTTCTAGAGAGAAAAAGGTGACAAGGACGATTTTGGCCATCCTCCTGGCCTTCATCATCACCTGGACCCCATACAATGTGATGGTGCTCATCAACAGCTTCTGCACATCCTGCATCCCTGGCACCGTATGGACCCTTGGTTACTGGCTCTGTTACATCAACAGCACCGTCAACCCCGCCTGCTACGCACTCTGCAATGCCACCTTCAAGAAGACCTTTAAGGACCTTCTTATGTGTCAGTACAAGAATATAGGAGCTACAAGGTAAAAATAATAATGAAAATAATTATGGAAAGGGTGGAGAAGTTCCAAATTAAATTTAAAAAAACCCTTGATGCTACAGCACTTTATGGTCTTCTATGGAATGTGCAATCCAGGATGTTAGTGGAAATACTGATAAGGGACATCAGCTGTACCCCTGAGAACTACACTTTAAAACAGTTTTTTTTAATAAATGAAAATAAATCCTTAGGACATGGGGATGTTTGAGAAATTATTCAAGTATGTGGACTGGAGGCACAGTTCCTTACTTTCTGAGAGTATTCGGCAGAAGGGCTTTAAAGTCTATGATTTTTGGGTCATTCTGTGTAAAATACTTGTTCTTTCATTCTCTTTTTCTTGTTGGTTTTTTTTCTCCTGTGTGTGTTTATTATGTCTTCATCCAGGTAAAAAAAAAAAAAAAAAACAAAAAACCCCCAAATTTTAATAATAACTGTGTGGAAGAGGCATAGGAGTTTAGAAGATCATTGCATAATCCAAATCAATCATGGCAGAAATTTTCTAAAGCTCAAAGTTGTCTAAAGCTGTTTTGCCACTGTCATATAAGAAGCTTAATGTTAGGTAAATCGTGATGAAAGTTTTTTATGTTGTTTATGACACACCATTTCCAACACCACATCAGTTCTGAAAGTGTTCTTATGCACAATGTGTAATCATTGTATATTGTTCCAAGTCTGCTGCTTGCCCCATCCCAGGGGATTTTGTTCTGTGACTACTTCATCATGTCAAGATCAAAGTGAAAAGACATGGTCTCATCCAGATTGCTACGTACCAAGGCTTCTTCAGCACCCATGTAAACCAAAGTTTTTGAGACTATTTTGTTCACTTTATTCGTCACATAACATCAACCTGTGGATTTGTCTTTTACCTTCATCAGCCTTTTCTTCCTTTCTCTACCTTACTTGTCCAGGGCAAGACTGAACATCAAAAGAAGCTGTAAATTTAAAGGTCTCATCCAGTCAGCCACCATGGTGGCCAAACAAAGGGACTCAGCTGAAGAATAGAAACAAAGTTATTACTAGAAAAATGAAAAGCTACATCCATTTAAAGTTGGATGTGCAGATGAAGAGGCACGTTGAGGCTTCACAGAATGAATAGTTAATATTAGATGGCCGTGCTCTTGACCTGTCAAAAGATAATTCTGTGTTTAATTTATTGAGGTAAAGAATAAGACAGACTGACATACCCACCTGGATCAAGCTTTGCTAATCCCTTAGTGTGAAACTGGGGTCCTTTCTGGGTGAATCCTGCACAAGATGTTTGCTTTCTGGAAAATATATTGGTTACATTGCCTTGTATTACCTGAGAGCCATATTTTGACTGTAAGTGAGGGGGGAACACTAATAAAAATGCAGACAGGAAAACTGTGGTTATAGAAAAATAGATATGAAAATAATCTTGATGGGAGTCTGGCAAGGGTTAAGTTCAAATATTTTTTGCTATTTTACACTAGGTGAAATTTAGATCATTTCTGCCCGACAAAGAATTTAGTATTCCAGTATTTGATATTTACTGTAGCAAAACTAAACATTTTGTGGACAGGTCAGAGGGTGTAGATTACTGAAAACAGAGATTGTCTGTGCATATTTTATTTACCTCCTTCTCAGGAAGTTTTTTACCTCTAACTTCCAGGCCCTAACAAAGGTACATTTATATATTTTCTTACCCAAAAAAAGCATAGACAGTGTCCTGAGGATCTCTTTTCTGGACTGAAAGCCACCCACCCAACAGGACAGCAATTAATTCAGTTATTTCATGTTACAACTTCAGAGTATTCCAAAACACACCTCAAAATAGCAGCCTCTGAGATTACAAAGAAATTAATCTTGCAGAATTAAGTTTTACATTTGACAAGCTTAATGGAACACAGTGTCAAAGGACTCTGGTATCATGACAATTTTCATGTTTTGCAGTACAAATTCCCAGCAGAAAGTGAAAACGAGGAGGATTAAACTGCAGTAAATTAAGGCCATGTTAAATTCCGGATTAACATGTCTTAATATGAAGTCATTGAATTTATACCCCTAGTGATTTCATCCTAATATAACTGTCTCTATACAGCGAAGGATCTAATTTTGCAACTCTCACTTGCCTTGAGTCAAATCTACTATCAAAGTTTTCATCTTCCTGCTTGTAAGGAAGAATAACTAAATGACAAAGCTTGCCAAAATAAGCACTGCTTGCCTTTTAAAACTTCATTCACTATTTATCTTGACAGGTCAAAGGAAGGACTTACACATTCCCAGGTTTTTCATTCTCTTACACTGTTAGAAAAATCCAGATAAAATCCCAAGATAAAATAAAATCAAATATGTTCAATTTCTAAATTTGACTTCTTTAGAAAAGTTTCATAAAAGAAACGCATCTGCTTCTTTCTTTCAGCAACTGCTGTGGGTATCAATAGTACAGGTACTCAAATTGGGAAATAATGGTTTGAATAGCCATACTTCATCCTTTAACTCGGGTTTTCTGGCAGGTATGCAAATCCCTTATTCTCACATTTGAAGCTATCACTTGTTCATAATGAATTAATCTAAAAGATAAGGACACTCCTAGAGGTTAAGAAGTGCAACAGATAGATTGCAATTATACTCCTCCATCATGGGATATGATGACACTCAAAATACCACAGGAAGAAAAGTATTTTGGGGCCAGCACTCATGAAAAAATACAAGCAAAGGAAAAACAATAATTTTGAAGTTTTCCAGCACTTTTCCCTAGCACCACCCTCACTTTTGATCTCAGAAGATGTTTTGATTTGTGTTATAGTATATTTAAAAGGCTTGCAGACCACACAATCCTCTTTTCCACCCTGTAACAGTTTATGGTACATTTACATTTGCAGACAATTAAACAGTGTAAAAATAGATGACATAGTGCACCTATGTAAGGATCCACAGGCATGCAAACACACAACCCTACATGGTTTATATACATGAAAAATAACCAGCTAATATTCAAGATACTGCATGGAACCTTGTCTGCCTAGTGTGCATTGCCAGCTGCTGGGAGGTGCAGAGCCAACACTTACTGCACTGTCTCGCCCCTCCTGAAGGCAGAGAAGAGGCAGAACGTGCCCTCAGATATTGGGAAACTCTTGGGTCTTCAGGTGGTTGTGTCTCAGTAAGACAAAAATATGCTAATGGTCCAGAACCAAAATAATTTCTTCTTGAAAATCCTTTGAGCTTTCATGTCTTTCCTTTGTGTCCCAAACCATGCTCACCAGGTTTCACTTCCCTCCTGAGTGATAGATCTGCAGGATCTAGATATCAGTCTTGAAGAGCAGCTCTCCCTGGGTAACTTCGCTTCCCTGGCTGTCACCTGCACCCTGTGGTCCCCAAGGCCCCAGGTGGCCCTGCTGCTGGAGCTGCCTCATCTTCACCTTGAGCTTGGCCAGAGGATCCCAGCGGCACGTCCACACCATGTGCTGTGCTGGCCACTTCTGTTTCACATAGAAATCCAGCACATTGTGCAGGTGACTCATGAGAAGAAAAAGAAGAAGAAAAAACATCCCAAAAACTATAACTGACGACAAAAAATTGCAGCTAGAAATTCTTGCCCCCCCCTTTTCTTCCTCTTTCCTTATTTCCAGAAAGAGGCAGCCCATGGGGAGTGATTTGTGTTGTCATGGGACAGCCCTACCTTCATGCTCCAGGAAGAGAACAGCAACTTGGAGATGCATCAATCCAGTGGGCAAGCTTTCTGAATATTAAAGATGTCTCTAAAGAGAAATGAAGAAATAAGGAACGGAAGGAAGAAAAAGAAAAAGAAAGAAAAAGAAAAAGAAAAAGAAAAAGAAAAAGAAAAAGAAAAAGAAAAAGAAAAAGAAAAAGAAAAAGAAAAAGAAAAAGAAAAAGAAAAAGAAGGAAAAGGAAAAAAAGAAGGAAGGAAGAAAGAAAGCAAGGAAGCTGAAGCAATGTTTAAAATTTGTTTTCCAGTGAGAACAAAATCTAAGAAAAAGTTGACAGCCTTCTTTCTGTTTGATATGTCCATTTGATTTATTAGGAATCATAGGATCTATTGGAAGGAGTATTTGAATGTCGCCTGATGAAAGGCAGTCCAAAGACAACAAACACAACTATATCGGTCAGATTGCTTTTTCTTGCTTTCTTTCATGGTTTTGTTGTTTTTCTTTTTTTTTGCTGTACAAAAGCTCACAGGGATGGGAGTGTTCAAGTGGACCCCAGAGATCAGTTGCTTGGCAAAGCATGAAGGGGACAAAAGCAAGTGCTATCAGCACAAATCTATCAGCCCTCTATTCTTCTGGTGGAGAAAAACATATTGACAAGAAGAGGTGCCTTCAAAAAGTGTGGCTGTGGTGAAAACAGCCCACACACCACTGAAGAAACTCTTGAAGTGGCCCAGCAGCTCCTGGCCTCTGATCCAGGGATAGGAGCAGGAGGGCAGAGACTTTTTTTTAATTTTATCTCCTTATGCATTTGAATGTGTCCATCTGTCTATGGGACTTGCTAGCAAACTCACTGTCCCCTTCCCCAGTTTTGACTGATTTTGAGCTCTGTTCTTTATTCCTATGAGTGGGACATTCCCATGGATGAGTGAGTGTTGCCTCAGGACACAGCTCCCAGTTTCTCCTGTGGTGCTGGGGTAGCACACTTTGAGTTTTTCACTTCTGCTGACAGTACCTCTCCTTGCCACTTCTGTGCCCCAAAATTAATCATGGCAGTGGCCTAGCAGGACTGAATAGGCAAAGCATCCTGACAACCAGCTTGCTGGAAACTTGGCATGAATGCAACTTGGGGCAGGAGTGGAGTAGAGCCATGCTGATGGCTCTCTCCCCTTAAAATACTTTCAAAAAAAATTTTTATTTTTTGACAAATTGTGGAGTTTCTAGGGACGAGAATTTAAAATTTTACATAAAAAAGGACAGGGAAACAAACTCTGGCCCTGTGCACAGGGGGGTGTTTGCTGATAGTTAATTTGGAGTTTGATAGTCCCAGATGACAACAGCGCAAGCGGTAAAAATTGAGAGGCTTAAAAGAAGTTAGCTTTTCTTTCACTACAGACACTTACAAGGGTATGATTTCTATACAATATTGCTTTTTCAGTTCTGGTATGTTACAAAATGCTCTAGACTTTTAAGAAATCTTTCTTTTTTTATGTTTGTAGAGAACCTTGCCTTGAAGGACCATCAGAGATGGTCTTTAATTTTCTGTGGCCTCTCTTCTCAGCCTATTTTTCCTCTTTTGCCACAGTTTTACCAAAAAGCTTTCCTCCTTACTTTAGCAAATGTCCCCTGTGTTACAGCTACAGGCTTGTAGTTTCACTTGCCTTTCAGGTGCTGTGAATGCTGGTATTTAACCTCCTTGACCCCACCCAAAAACTGCCTTCCCTAGCATGCAACATCCTCCTCCACTGAAGCCCAAGCTACTGTGTGGAGAGGCAAGTTCCATAA